TCTTAGTGTTCGATCTTTGTACTAACCCTACGCCACTGCATGGCACTCACATAGACAACCACAAATTACAGCCAAACTCACGAGAGTTATGCATGTAGGCCATGTAAATATTTTTTACCTCTGCGTGGCAGTCCAATGTGATAATCGTTCAGTCGCGGAGGCACTTAATATGGAACGTTCTATTTATTCAGCCGTTTCTTACCTCCGTTTACACATTTGTCGCTAAGCAAAATTGCCTTTGTTTTATATATTTTTAAAATAATATAAAATTATAAAAATATGTTAATTATAAGTCACTATAGTCTTATGTAGACACATTCCACAAATTTCCATTTTTCTATTTTTTTATTTTATTTATAACATCAAGTGACGGGACGAACAACGGAGCGTCGAGATTTTTCTACAGTCACGATTTAACGACTATAAAGTGGTATGGGATTGCAGAAAAAGTAAAATAATTTGTCGTCGATGGTTACGATATTAACATCCCTCCGTAGGTACGGTGTAATTTCCATGAATTACACCGTACACTTACATACGGAAGTCACGAGAAGCCAGAAAAAGAATATTAATAATTTTGTATTTGTTAACAGTGACCGTTGAAATACATGCTTAGTTTTACCACCCCGTATCGAAATAGCCCACATTATAGAACAGTAAAAATCTACAAAAAATTACCCGACACACTAAAAACAATAGAAAAACCATACATTTTGTAACACACTCAAAAATGCTATTACTCCGCTAAGAACATTTTGAAGATTTGAAGATTATTTTTTAATTTATTTTTAAAGAATTTAATATCAATACAAATTTACTCACGTAACTACTTTTAATTTTAGCTCATAAGAATTATCATTTGTTATGCCTTTACTGGGTGCATGTAACATTTTAAATGTATCTTGAACTACGCGGTTCGAAACAAAAGTCTGCCACCTGTGAGGCGAACTCTTTATCCAATATAATGCGACTTTAGAGTCTGTAAAGGCGTAGGTATTGATTGAGATACGATTAGCGTAATTATTTAAAACTGTGCCAAGTAGTTTGGATAGCAAGACTAATCCACAAAGCTCCAGTCGTGCGATCGAGAGCGGTTTTGTTGGCGCTACTGTCTACCAATGCAAATGAACAAATAAAGTAAATAAATAAAGCGTTATGTTCAGGCAATAAGAGTGAAAAAGACCTGCGTGTTTCGTTTTCACATGGTCTGCTGACGTGAAACGCACGCTTTTACACTGTTATTAAATGGACATATGGACATTTTAATGTGCAGTAAAGCTCCTTGTGAAAGAGTTTACCCCATTTCTACCGCTAATGTGAGCATTATAGTGTGTTCCGATTTTGAAGAGTGCTGGTGAAATTACAGCCACATGGGACTTGTCAACTTATGTCTAAGGGTGACGGGCGCAGTGGTAGTACCCCTCAGATCTTTGCGATTTGAAGCTCCGAGTGGCACTGCAACTGTTATCGCCAGTCTGGCGCGTCGCTCAAATGTTCGTCCCCTCTCCTGGTAAAAAAAATATTATAGACGCTTGATGACCTGTTAGCTAGACACAAGTAAAATAAAAAAAAAACAAAGATCTGCAAGAAGCATTATAGAGAATTTCATGGGGTCTGCTGACTCTCTATGTATTGATGATAAGCATTGGTCGGAAAAAGGTGTTCCACATATATATATATATAGTGACATAGAGTTGTTAAAACCACCAAATATTAATTAAATAAATAAATAACGCACACACTCAACATAGCCCCGCACTAGGGAAACCCTGTGTCGCGGGTGCCATGGACACACACATAGACAACCACAAATTACACCCAAACTCACGAGAGAAATAATTGTAGGCCATTCAACTATTTCTCCCGGCCCGGGAATCGAACCCGGGACCTCTGCGTGGCAGTCCGGCATGGCAACCGTTCGGCCACGGAGGCAGTTTACTTAATTAATTACTTTTTCGAATTCCGGATTTCCGGAAATGGTTTAACTGCATCGTAAGACAAAACGACTGACCTAAGAAGTCGAAGTTGATGGTAGAAGTAATTCTAATGGTCCATGTAAAAACATGCAGTAGATGGACCTTTCATCAAAGAAGAGAATAAAAAAGTGACGAGAATGGTCACTCTCCGCCCTCTCCTAGCTTTAGAGATAGCACTGCGCCCCGCGTAATATATTTGATGGTCACATTGACGGAACGGCAACAAAGCTGTCAGTTATCTACTGCATTTTTTACATGGCACCATTAAAATTACTTTAAAATCCAACTTCGACTTCCTAGTTTGTTCTACGATGCAGTAAAACCATTTCCGGCAATCCGGAATTTGAAAAAGTAATTAAGTAATATTTGGTGATCTTAACAACTCTAAGATGATAAGTGTAGGAAATGAAACTATTTTTCCGGATTTAAATCGCGTATATTAGTTTTTTCAAACAAACCGACGTTTCGGGCCCTTTACAGGTCCCATGGTCACGGTTGACTTACACAACATGTTTTAACAAGCTTTTGTATTTACACCTAGTGACTTGTTGATATTTTAGGTGTCAGGTGAATACGCGATGATTTCGCGCAGCGGCGACGCTGCAGACATTCAGACGACCCTCATGGAGATGCTCACTTGCATGAGGAGAGCTGGTGAGTGATTTTTTTAATAAAACTATTTTTTCGGTTCTGACTCGCGTTTTAAAAACTCGTGGTAGCCCAATGGTTTAACCAATCGCTTTTCAAGCAGATGCCGTGAGTTGGATTCCGGGCTCGCAGCTCTGAGTTTTTCGTAATGTATGTACGAAATTTAATTTGAAAGTTACGATGAGCTTTTCGGTGAAGGAAAATATCGTGATGAAACCATGCTACGCCACGACCGCACACATGACAGGACAACATTTGTAGTCGTTATTTTTAGTTTTGTTTTGCTTTTTGTTTGTTTTGTCTTATTTTATTTTAATTAACTACCTCCGTGGCCGAATGGTTACCATACCGGACTGCCACGCAGAGGTCCCCGGGTTCGATTCCCGGGCCGGGAGAAATATTTGTATGGCCTACATTTATTTCTCTCGTGAGTTTGGGTGTAATTTGTGGTTGTCTATGTGTGTGTCCATGGTACCCGCAACACAGGGTTTCCCTAGTGCGGGGCTATGTTGAGTGTGTGCGTTATTATTATTATTTATTTAATTTGTTTTATGGATATTTAAATTTTGTTCATTGCGTATTTTTATTTTGTTTTGCTTGTCTAAGGGTATCAATATTTTTTTTTGTGTTTGTATCTACCTATGTGTTGTGGCGTTGCAATAAATGTCTATTCTACTCTAAACCTGCATTTTGAGGAAAGTTCCCTCGTTGGGCCAGCGTGACGGACTATGGCATAAACCCTTGCCTGAGAGGAGGCAGCCCCATACCTTTCTACATTAGTTTTTTTTTTTTTCGGTTCACAAAACTGGATACAACTCTTAAATCAAATACAACAGATTCGTTAACATTATAAGGCGAGAAGAGTGTGTCCTTCTAGATGTGAACACAGCGTTTCGTATTTAAAACATAAAGTGCTTAAACAAAATTATAGTAAATTAAGATTTACATATCTACTATTTATGAAATAGGAAACAGACAACTAAAATTCATCGCGCAGTCACTATATAATACATTTTCTTATTGAGTTTCTAGCTGAGACCATAGAACAAGAGAATATGTCAAAATCATATCTGATAGCATTATAATAAGAACACATGCGATACACTGGACTATGTTGACCAAGGTTGGTTCTGCAAGTAGGGAGTGCGAAAGTTTTACGATTGATTAGGCGACTTCCGGGACGAGGTACAGATAGATACAAGCACTCGAGTATATCAGGAGCGTCAATGACACCATAAATAATCTTGAATAAAAAGATCAGGTCAAGCGATTTTCGGCGTTTTTGCAATGAAGTAATATTAAAATAAGAGAGACGTGACTCATATGAAAATAACTGTTTACATTTAAAATTATTATATGTTAGATGATAGAGGAAACGTTTTTGTACACGTTCAATCCTATCTGAATGAACCTGGTAACCTGGGTTCCAGACAGTGGAACAGTATTCTAATATGCTACGTATTAAACTGCTATAAATTAAAATAGATATTGCTGGTTCTTTAAAAATTTTCATTTGTCTAGACACAAAACCCGTTAACCTTGAAGCTTTACCGGTAATAGAGTCATAATGATTTCTAAAACTTAGGGTGGCATCTAGGACAACACCCAAATCCCGAACACTGGTAACCTCCGTTAGGGGCGTATAGTCGATAAAATAAGTGACAATTGATGGTTTTTGACGCCTAGTGAATTTGATGTGGTAACATTTATTTGTATTTAGGACCATACCGTTATCACAACACCATCTATGCACTCTGTTAAGGTCATCTTGAAGCAGCTGGGCGTCATTAGGCGAGTTGACAGCTCTGTATAGCTTTAAATCGTCAGCATACATTTTGAATTTCGAACACAATGAAAAAGCAATATCGTTAACGAACATTAGGAAAAATAGTGGACCCAGATGAGAGCCCTGTGGCACACCGGATGGCACCAAACGCAGTTCAGATCTAAAACCAGAAACTGCCACCAACTGAGATCTATTGCGTATGTAGGATTCACACCATCTTAGTAGCGATCCGTGAATTCTCATCTGTTCCATCTTGTACAGAAGAATATCGTGATGCACCAGATCAAACGCCTTTCTGAAATCGGTGTAAATCGAATGCACCTCAACGCCCCCATCCAAAACATTCGATATATCCGATACAAATGATACCAAGTTTGTTGAAGTTGATTTATGTGGCAAAAATCCGTGCTGGTTGGCATCAATCATGGTTTTAACATGAGAGTATTTTTTTTTTGTATGAGCGATTCTAAAATTTTGCCAACTGTTGATAAAATTGAGATTGGTCTGTAGTTGGCTATATCTTCCAAACTTTGGGAAATTTCTTTTGCTAATATTAACTACATAGGCGTACGGTCCATTATTGACCATTAATAGCATTGACCTATCAACAATTAGGTCAATAATTATTAGTAGGTAATGCAATGAGTAACGTTAATATCATTGGAAAGACAAGACAGGAAAAATTAGTGTTGCCAGTATTTTTTTTTTTGCTTATATCATGACCTTGAAATCAAGTCGTTTTCAGTCGAAATATGACAGATAATAAGCATAGAAACATTTGCGTTGCTAGTACAATTAATCTCTGATTTTTCACCACATTTTAACTGTAATCTGATGTATGTTACAGGTGCAGACTGCATAATCACTTACTTCGCTCCTTTAGTTTTAAGCATAATATCAGGAAAATACTAGGGAAATGAAAACACGTTTTACATTTTTATGGTGTAAGTCTTCTATTGATTTCAATATACATTATTACTTGGTCCTTTGTTCCAGTTCTAATAGAACTACTTCATTAATGTAACCAATTTCTATGGTGTTTTGTAAGTACAATGGCTGTTGTGGATCCTATTGCTATGTAAATCTATAATAAATTGTTTTCTACATTTGTTATATTTTGTATTTATTTCTACGTTTGATTCGCCCTTTATTATTTAACGTGGATGTCGAAAAACGTAGTTATGTAATTTATTGCTTTTTGTTATTTTTTCGTTATTAAAAATATTGTTAAAATATTTATTTCGTTAGAGCTGCCATCTCTTTCATTTTTGGCATCTGCTGACATTGCGCAATCCACGAAACGGAATTACTCGATCTCAAATTAAATGCCTGAAATTTGAATCTAAAATAGTTTAAAATTACAATAATTATTATCATCACATCGAAGTTTCCAATTACCTACCATATAATAAGTAATCTAATTAAAGTTAGGAGTTCAGACAAAATAGTCGAACAGTAAACACGTTTCAGCTTATTTCGATTTTTTTGATTATATACGATTTCCCGCGAAAAGAAAACAGAAACTTAAACGACTGAAGAAAAATTCATATCGAAGATCTCTGCCTTAGCTTGTCCGGGCTCTCTTGACCCTATTTACAGGGTCAAGAGCACGTGAAGCTTTACACTTAAGACTTAAATCCAACTCTATGCCGCTTATGATGAGAATGGTCCAAAGTACAAAGTGTCAAGCTTGATGTGCTTTTGACTTTACAACAAAATAGTTGTATAGACACCAGTATTAATTATAAATTTTTCAAAGGCGGTGGAGATAAATTGTATAATTTGTGCGCAAGTCTAATTTTTGGAAAATCGACTAAATAAAATGAACATTTGGATTTAAAAACTGTTGTTTTTTTTTCAAATTTTAACATGTTTATAAAATATGTTTATGAAATATTGTTTTATTATAATTATTAATACAAAGATCGAACACACAGAAAAAATTCCTTCGAACCGACGTCTCCTAGCTTACCGTGCCAGACGCTATACCAAGCCACGGAACGAACAAACGAAGTTAGATATCTTTACAGTTACCAGCCCTGGCGAGTGATGTGGCTATATTCACTGTATTTAACATTTTTATTGAATTGATATTAAATTACTTTTTGTATATTTGTTCCACTAGTTTGTTATAATTATTAATACGAAGAACTAAGCTTGGTATCCGACAGGATCGAAGGAATTTTTTCTGAGTGTTCGATCTTTGTATTAATATTTATAAGAAACTAGTGGAATAATTTCACAAAAAATAATTTAATATCAATTCAATAAAAAATTAAAATATTGTTTTATTTTTTTTTTACCAAAAGTCGGTATGAAATCATCGATTATCCGATTAATAGAACCAGATGCTGATTTTTAATCGATGAAAAAGCATCTATTATTCCACAAAAACATCGGTTATTTATTAATTATTATTATTATTTTTATTTTTTTTTATATGGACAACAAAACAGATAACAATCAAATTACATTGATACAAATGAACGAATAAAATGATTTGATTTGATTTGAAATATGATATAACAAACTTCTGTACTAGATTTTAGCCCTACTTATGTTGACACATCATTCTAAAGTAACAAGAAAGAACTACTGTAAAATTTGCTAATAATTTACTTATTTACTAATATTAAAGCGTCAAGGTAATGGGTGAAAATCTATACCAGCTTAAGTTGCTTTACTACTCGTTTAAATACTCTGGATCTTTGATCAAAAATGTCCAAATCGATGTTTTTCATAAATTAATCTATCGATTAATTTTCCAAGGGTAAGGTATCCCTACCTGTCATGCAAGCCCTAACAAGTCACTGCAATGATTCGGAGAACCCGTGCCCGGTAGTGGAACGCATAATGTATTGATGCAGTGCAGTGCATTTCGAGATGCTCTTCATTACATCAATTCTTTCATAGTATGTTGAATAAAATAATAGCATGAGATGTCCCCAAGTATTTAGTAAATAAACAAACAAATGACATCATTCAGGACAGAAAAATATTTAATTAATAACTGACGTGACTGTATCACAATAAATAACTACCTGTTCGAGTATATGGAAAAGGTTTTTAACTTGATAACAATATTGTAATATGAGGTAGCTTATCGCTTAATTTTTTTTCATACATATCACGTATTTTTAGTGAAATTAATATTGCTTATTAAACAAGTAATTTTAGGTATCTGTTCACAGAGATAAAGATAAGCCACGTGTAAAATGATTTTATGATAAAACTAACTAAGAACTAAGACACGTTAGTGTATTACTATTACGAAACAATAACGTATGAGTATTATTGGTAAATTCATACTACAAAGCGTATTCCTTTCCTTTTATATTTGTGAATTCAAATCAAATTTTTAATGGTATCCGTTATTATGAAAACCTTAGCTAATGAATTTAAGTGAAATGCAAACTATGTTCATTTCTTTATTCAAAAAACCGCGGTAAAAGAAATTTCAAGATTGTTCTTGAAATTTCTATTTGAACTTTTAAAAAAGCCGCTACAATGAGTCTTCGATGAATGTCCTATTCTGTGCCAGTTATAAACGTGGGCCAATAGGGTATTGCCAAATATGTACACTTGGACCAATCACGATCAAGTCTGTAAAACGTCATCAATTTGTGGACCAATCACATTCGCCCACGATCGACGCTAGCGCTAAATAATAGCGGTGGCGGCGTGTCAAACTTCAGTTTCTCACAGAAAATCGAAGAAGCAAGAACTACACGAAGATTAATTTTACAAGTGTTTCACGCTAAGTGCTGTTAACGTGGCTACGGTCAATATTTTAGCTGAATTATATTGATAGTTCTCATCTGTATTCATTGGTAAGTTTTTTTAATATCGTATTCAATTGCTTTTTGTCAAAAATTTTGATACATTGTTCATAACCTGTCATTCACGTTATTGAAAAATTAATATAATCGCGTCTGTTGGTGAGTTCTTGTATTTCTGAAGCGTAACAGTGCTAATGGGATTAATTGTCATAAGAATCACATTTGAATTCATATAAAATGATTATCGCTCGAAGATAACGTCAGCGAAATTTCTTGACGGTATGTGGGCCGGTGCCATGCCCTACATGTCTCGTAGCCGCTTCGGGAAGCACCGTTAACTTATCTATTCCCGTTATATTCTTAATAATTACGACTGTGACTTTATTGGATAAGATTTAGGATGTTTTTTGCGAGACAGCCGGTGTGTAGGCTATTGGTGAGTGACGTGTCCCATCTGCACGGGTTACGTGTCCTTGACTGAGAGGAAATCAATGAACTTCGCAGATTTTTAGCTCTCAATATCGGTCAGTGGCATTTAGCGACACCAAATTTTAACATAATCGAGTTATTCCATATTTTTTATAGCAACTTTTCTAATTTTTTCCAGTTATTAAGTGAAGAAGTACATGGTGAAAATGCGGTGGTGCTTACTGGCGCTGGTGTGTGTGCTCTCGGTGGTGTGCGCCGATGAGAAGAAGGACAAGGAAAAGGACATTGGCACTGTTATAGGCATTGATTTGGGGACCACATATTCATGGTAAGTGTAGCTTATTTTCATACACACGTGTCTGTCGGAAGAGACCAGTACAGCATAGGAGGTGTACATGTGTTGATTATAACAATTACAAGAAACAATTTTTCTAGTCCACTACTTTTTGTACATGTACTCTTACTTACTCTTTAGAATTTTGCAAGAGAGACATAGGATGTTTTCCAACCTAAAGTTTCATTAGAATATTTTGGAATCTGTAGATGTGGAAGTCCTGAAATTTACAGCTTTAAAGCAGAAATTTTTGGATTGTAGGTGTAGAGATCTTAAAAATGTCAGTTTTGATTCTGAAATATTCAAGGGTTAATATTTAAGGGTTTAGTACTTGTTAAGTTGTTATTACTTGTAATGTAATTCATTTTAAATCAGAACATAATGCTTAGTATTATCAAAGTTATAGGGTCGTATTCCAGAACTCAATGCTCAAGTCAGTACTTGAGCAGACTTGAGTATGATTTCAAGCACTGGAAATACGACCCTAGTGTCAAGCACTTAAGTATGATTTTCAGTGCTCCCTGCAATATTCAAGTCCTGACTTGAGCAGTGAGTAGAGTTCTGGAATATGACCCGTAGTCATGAATTTAATTTAATTACGTATGTAAATTTTATTAAATAAATATAAATAACAAATAATTCTCGCGTATGGGCATAATACAATTAAACCAAATTTAATGTTAGAACAACATAAGCATAAAAATTACAGAAAAAATTTAAAAAATTAATGAAGACTGCTTATCTCGGCAGAAAATTATCTTAGAGTTATCTGTTATGTAACATAAAATATAAAAATAAGATACTTATAGTGACTATGTAATGTAACTTTTAAATTGTAATAACTTATATCAAGAACAAGATATATTAATAACAAATAAACCTTGTTGTATATGGGCATAATAAAATTAAACCAAATTTAGTATTAGAACAACACAACATAAAAAGGAATCAAATAAATTAAAAGATAACAAAACCACTATGCCTAAATCAACAGAAACTATTATATAATAAAAAATAAAAGAATAATAATACTTAAGACTACTTACTCTGTAAATTAATATTATGCTTGAGAAAACAATTGCAAATATTTCACATAACAAATAAAAAAACAGCTTCCATTGTTTTACACTCCAAAATATTTGAAACGCAATTGCAAGTAAATAATCAAGCTATATTTTGGTGTAGTAGTACCTAGGTAATTAAATTAAATGAAATACTATTTTCATCTTACATTTATTTTTCTTTTTGTCCACAGTGTTGGTGTGTATAAGAATGGCCGTGTGGAGATCATTGCGAATGACCAAGGTAACCGTATCACCCCCTCATATGTGGCATTTACTGCTGATGGCGAACGTCTGATTGGTGATGCCGCTAAAAATCAACTGACTACCAATCCTGAAAACACAGTTTTCGACGCCAAACGTCTCATTGGTCGTGAGTGGGGTGATACTACAGTCCAACATGATGTAAAGTTCTTCCCCTTCAAAGTAGTTGAAAAGAACAGCAAACCTCACGTTGCTGTCTCGACTGCCCAGGGAGAGAAGATCTTCGCCCCTGAAGAAATCTCTGCCATGGTTCTCACCAAAATGAAGGAGACTGCTGAAGCCTACCTTGGAAAAAAGGTTACTCATGCAGTTGTAACTGTTCCTGCATACTTCAACGATGCTCAACGTCAAGCTACCAAGGACGCCGGAGCTATTGCGGGTCTGCAGGTTATGAGAATCATCAATGAACCTACTGCTGCTGCTATCGCTTATGGTCTCGACAAAAAGGACGGAGAGAAGAATGTACTTGTCTTTGACTTGGGTGGTGGTACTTTCGACGTATCTCTGCTCACTATTGATAATGGAGTCTTTGAAGTGGTAGCCACCAATGGTGACACCCATTTGGGAGGTGAGGACTTCGATCAGAGAGTCATGGAGCACTTCATCAAACTGTACAAAAAGAAGAAGGGCAAGGATATTAGGAAAGATAACCGCGCTGTTCAGAAGCTGCGTCGTGAGGTCGAAAAAGCGAAGAGAGCTCTCTCCTCCAGCCACCAAGTCAAGATTGAAATTGAATCATTCTTTGAAGGTGATGACTTCTCTGAAACTCTTACCAGAGCCAAGTTTGAAGAATTGAACATGGATCTGTTCCGTTCCACTCTGAAGCCTGTACAAAAGGTATTGGAAGATGCTGACATGAATAAGAAAGATGTTGACGAGATTGTACTTGTCGGTGGTTCCACCCGTATCCCCAAAGTTCAGCAACTGGTCAAGGAGTTCTTCAATGGAAAGGAGCCATCCCGAGGTATCAACCCTGACGAGGCTGTCGCTTACGGTGCCGCCGTCCAGGCTGGAGTACTCAGTGGTGAACAGGAAACTGACGCTATTGTGCTGCTCGACGTTAACCCTCTTACTTTGGGTATCGAAACTGTCGGCGGTGTTATGACTAAACTCATACCCCGTAACACTGTTATCCCTACAAAGAAATCTCAGATCTTCTCTACAGCAAGCGACAACCAACACACTGTCACTATTCAAGTTTATGAGGGTGAACGTCCAATGACGAAAGATAACCACTTGCTTGGAAAATTCGATCTCACTGGCATTCCACCGGCGCCTCGAGGCATTCCTCAAATTGAAGTGACATTTGAAATTGATGCAAACGGTATCTTGCAAGTATCAGCAGAGGACAAGGGCACTGGAAACAGGGAAAAGATTGTCATTACTAATGATCAGAATAGATTAACACCAGAAGATATTGAAAGGATGATCAAGGATGCAGAGAAATTCGCCGACGATGACAAAAAACTAAAGGAAAGAGTGGAATCAAGAAATGAACTTGAAAGCTATGCTTATTCCATCAAGAACCAGCTTCAGGACAAAGAGAAACTTGGCGCTAAGGTTGCCGACGACGACAAGTCGAAAATGGAAGAAGCAATTGATGCTGCGATCAAATGGCTCGAAGACAACCAGGACGCCGATTCTGAAGAGTACAAGAAACAAAAGAAACAACTTGAAGATGTTGTACAGCCAATTATTGCTAAACTGTATCAAGGACAAGGTGGCATGCCACCACCAGGCGGTCCCGGCGGCGAGGAGGACGATTTTAAAGATGAACTGTAAATTAACAGACTGTAAATCGTGTGTTAGCCAAATGTGATCTCTGGTCACTACAGGTTGTGCTCAACGCGGACCCACCTTCGGATTGAGCGTAATCTGTATAGCACGAAAAGTTATATGTTTGAAGTGTTGTGTATATTTATTGTGCGAATATGAATGGGACGTGTGCAGCGGATCTATCGAGATATAATCGTCTTTCGCCGCGCATGGTGCGTGATTGTTCAGCGTGATTGTAGTTATTGTAATTATGCATTTTTATTTTAGAAAGCAATAGATACCTGTGTGTGAGGGCCTGTTTCCATGACTGTTCGTTAATATTGATTCGTCTTCCTTGTCATCATGGCCATTGCCTATGCATCTAGAATGAATTTTGTTTAATAAAGATGAATCGATAGTCTCTGCCCACTCGAGACTACCTCAGTGTTCTATGTATGTAACTGTAATTATTTGAGACTGCAGAATGTTAGCTCTTAATTTAGTGAAATAAAATTATGTAGTAATTTAAATAATTTCAATTGAAGCACGGGAGGAGTACATAAATAAAACATTTTTCTATAAAGGAAACTATCTTTTATTAAAACTCAACTATAACTAGTGGTAACATTATCTACCTGATAAGAAATATTCTAAAAAACATCAACTGGCTAATCACCTCGGACGTTGCGGAGTGGGCATCCAATGACGATATCATAAGCTGGTGTTGCAATGACAGCAGCTTGTATCTTCACTTGTATTTCCTCTGTAGAATTTAAACAAATTAGTCAACATTAGTCCTTAGGGGCTTCAGTTAACGTTACGGCGGAACGGAATGGAAGCGAATTTTTGTAACGAAAGTATACCATAGCAAAATTAAAATTATATTGTGTAGCCATTGAATTACAAATAAATGGACGACGGGTCTAATACAAAAACCACGGAAAAATGTCCCAAGTCAACCTATTTAATCGTAGTGACATGTAAAGGAATATGAAAAAGCTAAAACGTTGAATTTAAATTGTAATATCATCGCAGTACTGTCTAATTTTGCTTGCTTCGCTGTCAGTCGAAGAAACGAAGACTAAGGCGTGAATGACGCTCTGTATACGATTTTAACGCCCTATAAGTTCGGAAACTTTTTAGCGCGGACCCGACGTCCATATAATTGCAAGTCAATGTGTGTAACGTACAAACTAACTTTGGCATTCGCGAATGTTCGAGCATTACAGCGACCGCGTGCGCCTTCTCGCACAAGCGAGGCGAAATTTAAGCTTACGTTCCATTCCGTTCCGCGGCCATGTAATCTGAGCCTTACAAAGCGGTCCTTCGTGCCGGTCTTACCAATTGAGTCCTGTTCCGCGCTAATCTCCACCGCAGTGATTCCCGCTGCAGCTCGAAGTTCTGCCAGCGCCTCAGAAAAGAAGTAGTCTAACTGTGAAATATATGCGCAAATCAGGCATTACATATACGACGATTTATTAGTAGACGACGGCGATGGTAGTACAACAGTATGTAAGGCACATTATAATAGAGTATACAAATTATGACCTAGATTCCAGACCGGTTGTGGGGCAAGTCAATGACCTATGATTATTGAGTAAGTGATAATTTTTAAGTTTTTATTGAATGTTACGATGTTTGACCACCATGATATTCAATTGATTTTGTGAAGTTACTCCATTATGTTGTTTTAACGGCAAAAAGTCATGAAAAAAAACAAAGTTCTGTTCGTTCCGTGGCTGCTTCGTTGGCATACCGTTTGAAGAAGGTTGTTCGAATCCAGCCGGTTCGAAGGATTTTTTTCTATTTGATCTTTGTATTAATAATTGTAACAAACTAACATCATTGTCTATCTGAGCCTCGTTTTCTCCTGGATGAATAACGGTTCGCGGTCCAGATCCTGGGGCAACGCGTTTTCCGGTGCACCAGTCCACTGCTACCGACATCGCGCGCTCCTTACACGTCTGCCAATTCACGTTCAGGAAGATTACTCTGGAAAGCGGTTATGAGTCAATGGTCATAATTTCTTCTTAGCATAGCATTTAAAGTGTTAACGACAATAATAGATCAACATTTTTATTTCGTAATGACGAACCCAGTGAGTGATTATTGGATTGGTTGTTTTTATTTCGATTCATGAAAGAACTGTACGGTAACAGAGCATGGTAACAGACAATTCAGGCCAGGGTTGTTGCGAATATCAGCATTTTCATCCGCATAAATTAAAATATCAGCATCCGCATTCATCAATGCTGATATTCATTGCAGATTTTCCGAGTCACATGACTGACATGACATTACGTGACATGACTTAAAAGGCGCGCTGCTGAATAATTTACAAACCTTCCAGACTGTAAGCCGAAAAGTCAACTCATTGTTAACGAATGTCACAAAATCATTGAAATAATATTTTATTACAATACTAAAGAAAATGAAAGCTTTTTTATGTAGATAGATTCATTAACCATGTAAATTTTCGCATTTTGATGTAATGTAATAAATAAACCCTGTATCAGCAACAACCTGATTCAGACTTGGCATCCTTTTAGAGGGAGAGTGTGTGCGTTATTATTAAAAAAAAATCAACATTGAACATTGAATAATCTGCGAAGAGAAATCGATTTATTGGATAAGATTTTAAGCTGCTTTGTGGTGCTTCAATAAAAAATGGGATGTCATATTGCTGTCTGTTCCTATTTGGCAAAAAAAAACTCACCGTAAAGCAAGTAGGTAAACGTAGGCGACCGTAACAGAGGCGATGACTTACGATAGCTTTTACGGTTAAAATGTTCAGTTATTCTAACTGTTAAACTATCCAACAGATTCTTGGGCAGACAAAAAACAAACGAAACAAAATATAAAAAAATGTTACGGCTTTCTTCTTTGCAGTCCATTTGTCAATAGTCTGCGACGGCAAAATACGTCTTGATTGAAAATTATTCAAGAGAAAGAATAATTAATCTTTGACCACCTACCGATTTGGTGGAGTTGTTATGTTCTCCAAGTTCTCAAAATCGACGCCTGAAGTTGGATATCCGACCATTACCCAACCGTTGTCGATGCAATCCTAGAAAAGGGAACATTTCTTTCCAATCAATATTTTTTCTACCAAGGTACCTGCCAATTTCAATGCTATACCTACACGCGTCATGCGTCATATTCAACCTACATTACTGCCGCCGTTAAAGAGTGCTTGTGTTAAAACTCAAAACCGATAAAATAATGTTTAAGGAAAGGAAATTAAGAAAATATCTACTTTTAATAGCGATAACTTCATACCTTACCCACCTAGGAAAAAAATAAAAATGGTGACAGATCGACCTTTTTTGGTAGTAGATTTAAATCGGACTAAAACCCACTAATGCCCGAAATCGATAGCAAACACTATTTACTACTAAATATTTGTTGCAAAGCGAGTTTTGTTCAAACTTAATGATATGATTACAAAATGTTCGTTGTTTTCTGATTTAGACGATTTGATTTGCCTTTGCATTGATTGAAAATCGATAATAAGAATTGTTAAATTGTAACTTGAATAGATTTTCATAAAAATGATCTTAAGTGCATTGCTTATTAGTGAGAATCCACAGGCTTGCAAGATGGACATTGTGTGGAGTTGCCTGTTTTTCATCTAAATAAGATTTTTTACATCGAAATTTGCAATACATTTTATTATTATTATTATTACACCAAATTCCGCCCACAAGTTCAGGACCTTTGGTTAAAAACCTGCTTAAAACCCGGGTGGGTTGATTGCCTGCCCATCTCTGCTTACAGTTATATATTTTCTATATTTTCACCAGTGATCAGAAATGCCGGTGCAAACGGTGCAATTACAAATGGTAACTTTACTTTAAAAAAAAAGATTCTTTCTCCGTTAACATATTTAATAATAATAATAATAATTTAACGGCAGATGTTACCGCAGCGTATTTATCGCTAAACGAACTGAACAGCACTGTATCCACAAATACAACGCGAGCTGTTAATGGCAATCTTTGGTGGAAATAGGTCGGAAGTTATCAATTCTTGCCTCGCCTCGTCTCATCTCGCCTCGCCGGCCGATAACTACTTACAGACCGTGCTTTCGTTTGTGCCGCACACCTCGCACCAGAGGTAAAGCTAGATAGCATTGAATTGAGTTAGTAATAATGCTGGGTTCACGAGTCTGTCACTTGCGTTTTTCGCTTGCTTGCGTGACTCGCTTCGAGCATACGCAAAGATCTGTCGCGTACGCGCACATGTTCACGAGTCACTCGCTTTGCATTGGATTTAGAGGTGGGCGATAAATAACGTCACGATGAAAAAATCACGGTGATCCGCCGTCAAGTAGCAACACCGTGACTCGTTCCGAAGGAACGACGTTCCAAAGTCACATAGGTGTTCCTCCGCTCCAATAGCTATCCCCGTCACTCACATCACGACATACGTATTTGATACAATGCGCGATCTCCGTTCCGTGGTGACTGAGCGCGCCACTCGTTGTAGTTCTCTTCAAATCGGGCTATTTCGGCGGTGGGAGTGAGTGAGATAGGATGACTTTCTTTGCTCACTCACAAGGGTCGTAGGTGCTTATTACTACCTACTAGAAAGGGCGGATGAAAAAAATCTGCAGCAGTTACTATAAACCTATTTATTAACAAAGTAAAATATTTTTGTATATTTGTTTTATTATAGGAAGAGTTGGTATTTTATATTTATGTATAATCTACTTTGTGTATTCTACTAGAAATATAATTACATTACACTGTATTGCTGTTTTAAACAATCCAAAGATTCGCATAAAATAAGTAAAAAACCAAATTTCATTAAATACAAAATCAACTTTTTGAATGGAGTTAAAACTTATTACAAAGGGAGTATAAACTTAAATCATTTTATAAAAAACGGCTATAAGTATTAGAAAGAAGCCGCTGGCTAAAACCGTATATCGTGATGTAAGTTATAGGCGTGACAAGGTCACGGAAGTAACAGTCGTGGAACCGGCACGAGGGTCACGGCGATAGAAATGTAACGCTATTCCCCAAGTCTAATTGAATTTCTTTGCGTTGAGTGAGTTTTGATATCTAGCAAGCTTGATATTTCCACGCAAGCAACAAGGAACGTTTGCGGAGGACAGCAACACTGACCAATCACAGAGCAGCAGATTCGCTCTGGGCCTTTTGGAGGGAAAAGTGTCGTTTTTATTTTGACTTTCAATTATTTTAAAGTGGAATAGGATAGTGCTATTGTGCCTTAATCGAAGATTAA